CCCAAATTTTTACCTCTAAGATCCCCTCATCATACCATGTTGATTCAATCACAACAAGATCACATTAGGTTATTTTGGTTCCCCTCCCTATCTTTAGCTTTTCTCTTTGAGGAATCACCAAGCACTTGACTTGTTTTCTTTTGTGATCATGAATATTTTGTCTTGATTTTCCTTTTAATTAATAAAATGCAATGTTGGTTTGTCTTACTTGTTACTAATGTAGGTAAAGGCAATGAGGTTTAGCAAGTTGCTCCACGGGTTCATGAGTTTATTTCCATGCCCTAGTCAATAAAGCTTGAAAAGTACAAATCACACCATTGAAGTTATTTTGGAAGGGATGGCATAGCAAGGTTATTTTGGTTCACTACATTTCCAAGATATCAAGATTGACTCAAAAGTGCAAGGGATTGATTGAAGAAGTTGTCATTGTTGGACAAAGTCTCGTTCCCATTGATCACAAGTGCATATTTCTCTCAATTCTCAAGATATGGAAGTGTTTTTGGTGATTTTAGTTCTCATTTTAATCCTCAACCACTTCTATTTACAAAGCAATAGTGTTGGTACAAGAAGGTTGTTCAAAATTGTCAAAGTTCCTCAAAGCATTTTCTTGATCTAGGAGCTAGGGTTTTGAACTTCAAAGAAGTATTTCTTGCTCATCTTTTGGTATTTTTGAGTGATTCCAAAGACATCCTTCTCTTCAAATGGTTTTTAACAAATCACTTCAAAAGTTTCAAGGAGTTTTCACGTGGAATAAACTTGGTGATAAAGAAAGATTACAAGTCCTCTAGATGAACCCCCAATTTCTCATGTGTGACTTCAAATGATCATAACTTGGTCAATTTTTATCACCTTGAGACTAATATTTTTCCATAATGATCTTGAGGATGTGAAATTTATTCCTTATTTTATGTGCAAAGTGAGAAAATGGATGGAAGATGCCCTAAGGATACAAAAGATTATAGGTCATTTCATGATTTTTTGCTAACTTCAACAATTCACAACTCTCTCAATTTTTGGAGTTTTTGAATGGTTCAAGTTTCAAAATGTCATTAAAGAGGTCTATTTCATTCCATATTTTTTGGTCAAGAGAAAATTCCAAGTGGAAGGCCATGTTTGGATGCAAAACATTATAGGTCACTTTTGAAGAAACATTTGAAATATTTCTAAGTATGGAAAGTCAACCATTTTTCTCCAACTTTGACTCAATGCAACTCTCATATCAAGCATATATTTGATTCCATTATTTTTCCATTTCAAATCTTGTAACCTCATCTTTATAAAGCATCAAGAATCATGCCCTAAGACCCCTTGAGTTGAAAATGCCATTGATTTAAACTTGATAACTTGGAACTGAAGTTTCTTCAAAATTCAGAATTTGAAATCATTGGTTTAGCTTCTAAACACTTTGTTTCTATTCATTTTTGCCTCTAAACATGTTTAGTGAACTTATAGAAGTGATTAACACAACAAAATGCGCGTTTTGGATGAGTTTTGATCAAATTAGAAGTCACACTTTTCTTGTTTGCAACTTCAGACGATTTCCCTCCAAACTTCATCATTTCACACGCTTGGACATTCCATTTGATTCCCTATACATAGAGGGTCATCCCCAATTCATTCCCTCAAGCTTGGATAGCCAAAATCACCCTGCCAAATTTGTTTTATAACTCAAATTTTTGCAACTTCGAAATCATTGTTCAAGCCTTTTTCAATCCAATTTTTCAATCAATTTACCTCCCTTGATCTTCCCTGAAGCTAACCATATAATTACCTTCAAGAATCGTGCCCTATATTGCTCAATAGAAGTCCAGTTTCAGAGCTCTACAACTAAACTTCAATAGGTAGATTTCTTCATCAATTCTTCAAAACTTTGATATCATTGTGATGCTCTCATTACCCTGGTTCTAGTTGCAACACTTACTTTTATCTGGAAACATGTTTTGACCATGAAATTTCAAATCCCTTTTCAAAACTTTCCTTCCAAATTGCTTGAGCTACAATTTATATAAATTTGTCGCGAAGGCGTGGTTGTCTTCGTCTTGAAGAGACGAAGCGAATGGCATAGGTCTGAGCTTCTGATTTTACAGTTCGAGAGACCTGCAATTCATGTTGGCTGGAGGTTGAAGATGACCAACGTGTCATCTTCCAACCAATGAAGGTGTGCCATCTGTTTTTTTGAAAATCTGATTTCATTAATGATTCTATGCTTTATTCACTAATGACCATGATATGCACAGTGTGCCAGATCCCTTGGATTTGATTACTAACGAATTTTGACTCTCATCCAATGGTCCACATATTTTTTATTTTATTTATCTTTTCTGATTTTTATATTTAATTGTTTTAAATTTCAAAAAAATCATAGAAAATTCATTTTTAGTCCAAACAATCTGAAAAAATTATGGAAAATATTTTTGATTTTTCTCTTTCTGATTTTTATTTTTTCACAATTTTATTTTCTGTTTTGATATTTTTTATAAATTTTCACTTTATTTGATTTATTTTAAATATTTAAAAATACTTTTATGTATTTTTTAATTCTGAAAAGTTATGGAATGATCCAATGACATTATGACAAATATTGGTGACCTCATTCATTTTTTATTTTTGACTTTGGTATTTTTTATCATTTTTGATTCATTTTACTCATTTCTTTCAATTTAAAAAAATAGTTTCTAACTTAAAAAAATTACCAAAATTTTTATAAAATTAGTTTAGCTCATTTTTTATTTTTCCATGGTCTTACTTTTTATTTCTTCATTAATTTGAATATATTTGATATTTTTCTCTTTTATTTCTATTCTAAAAAATTTTAAAACCTTTTTAATGTATATATTAAATGCAATATTAGTTTGTGATTATTTTCTGGATAATCTTGGGTTGAATTTTTTATCATGAACTTTATTAATATCATTTGATTCATGGTGTTGAGTCTAACTCCACAAAAATGGATGAATGATTTTAATAATAGTTTGATTAAATTTTAATTCAAATGTGGATTGTATATTCTTCTCCACCTTTCTTCATCCTATCCCTTTCTTATTGCACTATGTGTTATTGGAGCATGATCTCTATATCATGTCTCAAAACAAATGGTACATAGATTGCTATTGACCGTCCTCAAAATAGGTGCGAATTCTACATAAGTCTACTTATGATTGCTTAACATAGCGCTAAATTTTGTCCCGATTCGAATAAATGATCATTTGTGGCCCAAACCTATGTTTGCAAGCCCAAGTATGTTAATTTGATCTCTTTGATCTAATAACCTTGAGATTCATTGTGTGGAGGCTTTGGTTCTACCAATCCTCTAATGAATCTATAACACTTTTGGTCAACACGGATCACTTAAACATCGTTGATCATTAAATGATACTTTTGAGGATTCCAAATGGATGATTCACTTGACAAAAAGCAAATGCAACTTGTTGAGTGGAGGCTTTGGTTCTACCAATCCTATAATAAGTTCCAAATGCAAGTTTCAATATGGTCATCCAACTAACCACTAATTATTGAATTGTTTTTTACTTTATGCCTTTTATTTTTTATGCTTTATGTACCATTTACTTTAAGCATTACATTTCATAAGACACATAATAATAAACATGAACCATAAAAACCTTTTTTGTGTGCAGGTTATTGTGATTACATTCTTTGTTTGTAATCTGGAATTCACCCGTATACAACTGTTACTCTACCCAATTTTTGTGAAGACTTAATACACTTGAAGTTTGGTTCTCTCAAGAGGTCTAAGTATCTTTGCTTGCTTGGTTTCAATCCAAATAATGGAAATTCTATCTTGGCTCATAATGTCAAGTATTGGCTTCTTGTTGGTTAGATGGTTCCTATCCCTAGCTTTTATCTTATGCTTTAGGATAGTCTCTTCTTCTCCTCCCGTCTTCTTAAATTTCAAAAAATCTTCTTCCTCCTTTTGAAAATTCTTCTCGTTATAAACTTGAACCACTTTCATAATAAACTTGGACTTATGTCCATTCATTTTCAAAACATTTTCATAAATAAACTTCAATTAACTTAATAATATCTTGACATTTTTGTGAGAAGACTAAAAGTCAATCAATCTCATTCAAACCATTTTGCCACTCTGACTTTTTTGTTTTAAAACCTTTCTCAAAAGATTAGAATCTTGTCAATCCTTGTAGTGATGCAAACAAATATACTTCTACAATATATAGTGAAGAGAGATATTTTCCACTTGAGTGTTGAGTGAGGCATTGTTGATTTTAAAACCAAGCCATATCCTCCTCTTTGAGATGATGCAAATTCTCCTTTCTCATGATTGTGGGTAGTAAGTATATTTTTCCACACGGACAATGATGATGATGTCTTATCTCTTAAAATCAACCAACACACTTGTATTTTAATTTTTTTAAAAGGTGAACTACGTGTACCCCGACCCCCTATTTCATAAAAGGTGGTACGTAGGAACTAAAGGTTCACAACCGCGGCTGGTGCAAAAACCATAAAAATATATTTCTTTTCTCACCTCCACCATCTATTTTTATACAATATTTTATAGCCAAAATATACAAATTTTTCAAAGAGGTTCCTGCGAAGTACGGTAGTTGTTTAGGGTGCTAATACCTTCCCTTTGCATAACCAACCCCCTTACCTTGAATCTTTCCCCCTCTTTTTTGGGTTACTCGCTCTTTTCCCATTCCTTTGGAAATAATAAAGCGCGGTGGCAATTTTTATTTTGATCTGTATAAGTCTAGCCAATCCAATGGCTTAGTGTTAAACATTTCTACCGCTACACTAGGTATTGCAAAATCAATACTTGATTCAAGATTGCAAGATGCAGAAAGATTGGATGTCTAAATTGAAGAATTGAAGTAAAATTTGAGATTCAAATTAAAATAAAAGGTCAAGTTGCTTTTTCTTAGAATTACTTCATTGATTGAAAGAAAAATTCAAATTCATTACAAAGTTACACCAAAAAACCAAATTCATAAAATATAAACCTATTCTATTCTTCATCAATCTCATGCTATTTCATCTTCACTTTGCTTCATCCTTTCAACCAAGTTGAACTTCAATAACTCAGGCCATAATCTCAACCTGGCTTCAAAATCGTTGCTCCATAAACAGTTGTTTATTGCAGCCCTACAATCAACAAGGAAGCCAGTGGCATCATATTCTAACAACCCATTATAAGAATACAACAGTCAAGTAAAATAATCATCATTCAGTACAAAAAAAGGCACACATACTTGCTGTCCATACATCTCGATTCAAAGCAGAAAAGTTCCACATGAACCGCCTGGAAAAATAATCATGCCCTGCTGCAACTTTTTCAAACCATAGGCAGCCCTGCATAGAATTAGTTCAGAAAATTCAAGAAATAACAGTCCAAAAGAAAATTTTAAATGGAAAATCAGTTTAGCATAAGATAGAGAACCCCAATCTCATTGCAATTCAGAGTCATGACAGAAAAGGAAACTAACTTCATGACTGACTTAAAAAATTCCTGATTATTATAACCAAAAGGCCAGCTAATCCTAATCTAATCAAATAGAGTAAAAGCTGATAGGTTGAAAAGAAACGATCATTAATAGAATGGCAATAAATAGAACTAACTTTCAGAGCCCTCTAACTGTCAAAAACAGAAAAATACCAACCATCTATTTCCCTAACCGTTTTTTTTACCAAAGGATGAGATTGATTCTAATCTCTAACCAACTCTCAACAAACTATAACAAAATCATAACAAAATGAGAGAGGGAGAGGATTCATTATCGAAATTCATAGAAAAAAGAGGAGGAACTCACCAGAAAACTTGACGACTCTCTTTTTGAACTTATTCTCTGTAAGAACCTCCTCACCTTCATCTTCAGCCTTCAATCATTGATTCATTCTTCTCTGAAACTTCTTCTGCACCTTCTTTCATCCTCCATCATCATCGTCACTGTTGTACCCCAAAATTTGCCCTCCCATATTTCTCAAAATATTTCAAGAAAAATTCACAAGTCCAACCCGGCGCGTCATATTCAGGTATTCTTTCGCCAAGATATCTCTGATAACTTATTCTCAAATTCAGGTTCGGCTCAAGAGTCAATTCTTTAAAGAAGGTATCCGAATGTGTGAGTTTTCTCGAAGAAATATGGTGAAAAAGTGTGCTGAAAGTGCAGTTTTTACGCGCTAAAAAATTCATAACTTGAAGATCGTGGCTCGTTTTGAACCTATTCCGGTGGCCAAAATTCCGTCTTGACATTATCTACGTTTTCATCTCTCACGGCTGGAAGCCAATTTCGATCAGAAGGTCTTCAAAAAAGTGGATTTATCAAGTATTTTCGTACAGAAAATTTGTGACAGAAGTTTATTTGCGTCATATTCAGAAAATTATAACTTGGTCGATTTTTATCGTATCGAGCTGGTTCCGGCGCCAAAATTTCACAAATTAAGTTGGCTACATTTTCACAAAAGGTATTAAGTTCAAACGGTACTCAAAAGGCCTTCGTTTCTTGCTCAGAGTGCGTGACACGCTGAAAATCCTGAATGCTGAATATTATTTCATCTGGGCCGAAACTTCGAAAATTCATAACTCGGTCAATTTTTATCGGATTGGGCTCATATTTTTACACAAGGTCCCTGACTCGTAGATCTATAATTTTGCTTCAAAAGTCGAGACCGGATTATGCTCCGATCAATACCAGTTTTTTATTGAAGAACGTGTCAGAGTCGATACTGGAGCCCAAAATAAGTTTGTCTGAGCTGAAACTTCAAAAATTCATAACTAATTCACCGTTTATCCGATTGAGCCGATTTTCGGATAGGAGTTAGTTATCGATGTCGGCTACATTTTGTTTTCACATTTCAACTTCAAAAATTGCACTTAAGTCCCTGCGATTTAGCCTGGAAAGTGACGAACTCAAGTGAATATTGGAGGTCCAATTGCACATTCAAAGCCCATTTTCTTTACCCTAATTTCCATTATATAATCACCTTCTTTTCACACAAACCAGGGAGGAGGAAAAGAGAAAAAACCTTGTCATAATACTGTTAGAATATCAAATTCTTTCAAGAACCCTAAAACCTTGAAATCCTTATTACAAATCCCTCTCTCACTACAAACAAGCCATCATAGTTACAAACCAACACCTCACTACTTCTTCAGTAAGGATAAGGCTGGCTTGATCTCCATGATCCAAAGGGCATAAAAGTATTCAGGTCACTAATTTTCCAGTAAGGGTAGGATTGATTTGATCTCCATGATCAAAAGGGTATAATCATTCATACATGCCATATTGTGCCTAAACATTAAATTTCTTCATATATTGGCTTTATTTGCATTTTATGATTTTATTTAATATGTTCATGAGATTCAACACTGCAGATTTAGACAGGATCCCATGCAAGTTCATTAAGGAACGTTGAGGCCAAAATACAAATGGCCAAAAGCCAAAATACAAATGGCCAAAAGCCAAAAGCCAAATGGCCAAAAGAACAACTTATGCATGATGAGGCCAGAACACAAATGGCCAACAGCCAGAACACAAATGGCCATGAAACCCAATCCAATAGCCAAAGAATGCAGACCACGGTACTCAGAAGTCAATGAACACGCACGTGATGCCAGAAAGTCAAACAAGGCTTTTTGTCTAATGGGCCAGAATACTTCAAAAAAACCTCCTCTTGGGTCTGAAACCCCCCTTGGTTTGCATCCTTTTTAATTTTATTTTCTTTTCTTTTCTAATTCTTTTTTATTTGTTTTAATTGTTTTTTTTTCACCATAAAATAATTTTCTATAATAAAAACAGAAAAATCAAAAATACAAATATATTTAATTATTATTAATTTCATCACTAACCTATTTTTTTGTAAATAAACTCTAACAATTAACTTAGTTTAATTTAGGTTTTTAAACTTTAATCTTTTTCTTAATAAGTAAAAAGTATCTAGAATTAGGTTTTTTTGACATTTTCATCTTTTTCTTAAATAAATTATTAATCATCATTATTTATCATTATTATTAATTATCATTAATTTTATAAATAAACATGTAAATAAATTAATTAACTAGTAAATTAGGTTAACTTTAATATTTTCATTAATAATTAAAATAATCTAGATTTAGGGTTTCCTTTTAATTCTTGTTCTTTATTTTTCATAAATACAAAAAAAACACTAAAACATTTTCTTTTCTTTAATTAAATAATTAATTGGACTTTAATTTAATTTAATTTCATGCAAAGGGTCAAAACCCTCGGACGTCCTAATTTTAATTCTTTTCACGCATTATTTCTTTCGATCATTATGTAACTGTTTCTCAGATGTAATAGTAATTAGGTTTATCTTTCCGTCTTTACTTTCCGCATCTTTATCAAAAATGGGTATTTGTAATTTGGCGATGTATAGACCCGCGCCTTGTAATAGCGTAGGATTTTACTTTCCGCATTTAAATTTCCGCACTTTTAAATTATAATTGCATGAAAGAATGAATGGCCTAAATTAAAAACAATGCGTAGCTCACCAAATGTATGATCAAAGACAGATATTAACATAAAAATAACACACAAATTCATACACCACTCTTAGGGTACGCCTCACTGTTGCCTTGCCCTCGAAACGTGGTCGTCGAGTATAGGACGTTTTAGTAAGTCCTTATGTCCGTTGATCCATATGCCTCAAAACAAGTTGCCTCGGAAAAGTTGCCTCGGAATTAAAAAGGATCAATGGCATAAGGGTAGCTTCTAAGGTATCCTACTGTTGCTCTGGTGACCACACTGTCCCTAAAAACGAATTGACCCGAACACCTCCAACGGTGGTGCTACCTACCTCTCAATGGTGGGATGGCACTACCTTAAGGACTTCTACACAGCCTAATTCCTTAGGGTAGGTATATGACTCATAGATACTTGCTCTATTCAAAAAAACAAATCAAACTCTTTTCACACCGACACTTTTCAAAAAGCTTTCAAAACAATTTTTCAAACACTCTTGAGGACTGATACAAGAGTCATTCTGAAATCTTTAAACGAAACTTTTTCAAACTCACTCACAATTGAAAAGCAAATCTTTTGAAAACACAATGAGCAAGTATCTAAGAGCCCATGGATAACTATGGATAGAAAGGGTGCTAACACCTTCCCTTTCTATAAATCTACCTCCCGAACCGAGAAACTATCTCATAAGGAATTTTGCTGTGCTTTTGTCCTGTCCATGTTGGAGAAAATAAAAGACGGTGGAGACTCTTGCTTCCGCGACATTTCGCGAACCAGCGTTAAACAGTCAGTTCCAGATCCACCGGCATTGATACAGAGTTGAGATAAAGGCAAACACCCATGCAGGAGAGGAGCGGTGACGGACGAAATCGGTGGTGGAAGGGGTTTCGGTGCACTGTTTTTTACAGAAGACTAGGTCGTTCATAGGAGGCCAAGGGACACAACTCCTAAACCCTATTTGAGCGAAACGACACCACATCATTTGTTCCTTTATTATTTTATTTTGTCATTTTATAACTATGGGGCTGGAAATTGAATGAATGTGTTGATGGACCAAAATACATGGACCTTTCCCACAAATATTCTGGGCGGATTGGTCCTTCTTGGTCCGTAATCATTTTTTGGGAGCCTGGTGTCTAGTATAAACAAAAAAGGCCCTCCTCATGGGCTTACTGTTGGTTGGGCCTAGCGCCTGTTCTATTCATAAGCCCTGGATTCTGCTTCACACCCCCTTTATCCCCTTAATTCTTCTAATTTTCTTGTTTTCTTTTAGTTTTTTTTTCTTTTTTGTTTAATTTCCTTCCAATTTTCTTAATAAAAAAAATAGTGATAAAAAATATGTACATATAATAAAACAAAAATAATAAATAGAATTTAGGACTTTTTTATGATAGTGAACTACAAAATCAATAAAAAATGTTTGTTAGGCTTTTTATTTGATTTTTAGGAATTAAATCCTAATCTTACGATTACTTGAGACTCGTGATTCACCTTTTCTTGTTGAGATGAGTCTTATGCAGGTTCATTGTTTGATATGCAGACATGTTTGAGTTTCTGATTTTGATTTATTTTCACATCGGTGATGCTTCGACACCTAGTTCAAATATTTGACCTCTGACTATTTGTTTGTTGATGCCAGCTCGCGTGAAGTATTCCGGGTTTCTTTACTTTGGTTGTGCTTTTTGCGGATATTATTGTTCGTTTGGTATTATACTGCTTCTAATTTATCTTTCCGCGTTTTATTTCTTTCTAGATATCATGAGAAGTAGGAAATAAAGAGCGTGCGCTCGAAGTCGCTGTTTAAAGACATGTAGCAGGAATTCCATACTTGTTTGTTAACTGTATTTGTGTTTGTTTTCATGGGTTGATGATTGATGATGTCACTCAATTAGAATTGAGATAACGAATTCGATCTTTTGCATGCTACCCTTAGGATTTTTATTTTCCTTTGTTAACGATCGATGATGTCACTCAATTAGGATAG